ACGCAACTAGGATTGCCAATTACTAGACCTTCTAGAGTACTTCCATTTCAATTCTCTGGAATCTTTCATTTAGACTCATCTAGCCAAAGTAGTGTGAAAATATCGGTCTAAAATGAAATTTCTGAGTGCTTGTGTGAAGTTGACTATAACAGGTGTTTCGTAACTCCCTTAGTCCATTTTTATACATTTGCCATTTTGGCTAGCTGAATTCAGCTTTATTGTATATAATATAATCAGTTTTTTTAGGCTAATTGAAATTTATCCATAAAGCCGGGGTGATTAACCAATTGCTCTAGAGGGACTGTTTTATTACATATAATAGTATAATAGGTTAGCTGAATATTATCCATAAAGTCGGGGCTATTAACCATTTGCTCTAGAGGGACAACTCAAGCTTTATTGTATATAATAATATAACATGAGTATCCAAATCCAATTTCTTAAGCTTGTTAAGAAGAACCTGTTATAGTCTAGGTGTTTTGGTGGAATTCAGAAAATCTCTTTGTTAGAGTTCAATTCCCAAGCAACTGACTTAAACTAGATTTACCTGTTTGTAAAAATTATGTTCATCATCAAACGTCATCAATAGAAAATATTCTAATCGGTTTTGTAATGTAATACACCAACGATGCCCCATGTTGTACGCTCATATATATAAATACCAAGCCTTTTTGTAATTCCTTTCAATAGGAGAAGGCTATCTCATATTTGTAATAGGATAGTATTTGGGTGTATTTCTTCTGAGGTAAGGTCAATGGTCCTTGTTTTTCTGGTTTTCAATCCTGATATTCTGTCAAAGATTATAACTCTAATCATGAAGAGCTTTTTAATCCAGTTAATATTCAAAGAACTACAAGATTGTAAAATTGACTCAATGCTCGTAACCTTACAAGCAACACAAATTTATTTATTGCACAAAAGGTGGAGAAAGGAACAAAAAACATATTCAAACAGGATGTTGAAAATAGAAAGATACTACAGTGGTAGATAACAACTTCCACTTATTTATTTAGTCTATCCCATCATTCCAGTAATGTTGGGTGTGTACTTGACCCAGGATTTTCGTCCTTATTTGCCCATCATTTCTTGATCATCTTTTGTGTCGACTTCTTTGGGAAAGCCTTCAGATACACAACTCTTTGCTTCATTCTGAGCAGTCTCCATCATCATCTTTTTCTTCTCTATCTGGAAATTGGACTCATTTTTAAATTCAGAACAACTTTTATTAAGGATGATAGCTTTATCTTGATTCTGAACACATACTGCGGTTGTAATTGGGGTAATATTTACCAAACTCTTTGTATCCAGACCATTTGTATTGCCCACTGCCTCACTGGTCCTCAAAAAATCTGATACAGGTGTTTGAGGTTTCTTCAGAGTTACATCTTTCCCATTCATTCTTAAACCTGTGGGCCAGTCTCGAATTACCTCTCTTTTTACTTCTTTATTATTTATAATCAGAGAGGTATTGAAACTTGAACTTTTTATCTTTGGCTCAAATACTTTGTTTTCCTCTTCCTCTGCAATATGTACTTCATTTGTTCTGACACTATCAACTCCATCTTGGGGTTTGATTCCCGATTGTTTTACCAAAACAGACTGACTAACATCCACTTCTATGATTTCCTGAACCAAAAAGTCTTGAACTCTTTGTTTGAAGTTACCACAATTCTCGATGGAGTGCCCTCGTACTCCAGCATGATAGTCACAAAAGACTTTCTCATTATACCATCTCGGGTAAGGAGGCAATAAAGGCTTAGCCTAACATGGAGCAATAAGTTGGGCTTTAAGTAACTCCGAATATAACTTGCTGCACGAAATTGAAGGAAACTTGGGTAGAATTTCCCTTGACATCACTGTCTCCTTACAATTGCTTGCTTTGCTTTCTTGAAGACCATGTGACTGATGATCAAAATGTTTGCTTTGAATATTTGACTCTTGACCAACATCATGAGACAGACAGCAATTCGAACATTTATCTTTCTTGACCAGTTTTGAGCTTTTGAGGAGCTTAGGTTTCCCATCTTCAAAACATAGCAACCCTTCTGCAATGAGTTTTTGGACCTTTAAATTCACAACCTTACAATTCTCCGTAGAGTGGCTAAACTCTCCATAATGATAATTGCATGAATTCTTGCCACCCTGCCAATATTTCTTAGCTTTCTTCAATGGCTTTTGAACCTCTTCTATACGTCGCTTCAACTTGATCTATGTCGCCTTTTCTGGGAGCCTTATTGGATTTCCACATCTCTTGACAAGTTCTTGGTCCTTTGTTTCTATTGCACCAGCTACATCATTCATAATCCTGTTCAAATCTTTCATAATAGGATCCTCTAAGGGTTTCTCTCCATGGATCACAATACTCACCATATCCATTAGTTTTGTCATTTGCTCTTTTGAATCATCTTGGAATTTTTTTGCTTGATCCATTTGTTCACCCTGGAATTTTTTTACTTGATCAATCATATCTTGTTGAGTCTTGATAAGTTGCTCTTGTAGTTTCTCGATTCTACCAACCCTTGCTAAAATCTCATTCATAGCTATTATCCCTCTTTATGAAGACTAAGTTAGCTCCACTTTAATTTCAAAATTCTGTCATGGAATTCTCCACGAATTATTCCACGTTGTCATGATTGAATGTATGTAAAATAGTTTGAAATAAAATGTAATTATGCAAAGATGCAAATGCAAAAATGAAAATGTAAATACAAACATAAAAATGGGGGGAAAATGCAAGATGAAAATGCAAATGTAAATATGTGAATGTAATAATAAAAATGTAAATTGTGCAATACAAAAGTAAACATAAAAGTATAAATGACAATGCAAAGATGAAAAATACAAATGCATGTATAAAAAGGTGTTACTCAAGAGTGATCATCTTAGAACAGATTTCATTGAACACAAAAGTTTCCGTGCAACAAACAAAACTTTTACATATAGGGGATAGCTTTCACTCCTAATTTCTCTATTTCCGTTAAAAGCCAAATTAACTTTCACTCATGCTCAGGTGTAGAGTTATCAATCTGCTTTAAGTCTCTCGGGAAGCCCGCTAAGTCCACCAGTTTATGAGCCACATTACTTGTTTGAACAACAACTTCTTTCAAGACATTGTCTTTTTCCTTCATCCTTTGTGTCAACTCTCAAAGTTGTAAACAATATTGTTCATTTTTTCTTGTGAGAAAATCTTTGTGCTCCATAAGTTATCGTACAAGATCTACATAATCATCTAAATAATTCAGTATCAATCTCATGCTGATGAATCTGATATGATGCTTCCATATTGGTCATAGCATTACTCGACATTTGATTTTTGACATGACATCTTTTCAATTCACTGATAGATGTATTGTGTCTTTCTTCTGTAACTCGTAAATCATGATAAAACTTCTTGACTCGACCTTCATGTATGTTACAGTTCTTTTTCAGTTTGGTGACCCCTGTTATCCACTTTTCTGGGGTATTTCCTATGCCATCATATTGAAAGGCTTGACTGACCTTCTGGAAATCTTCATGCATGGTTTCCATTTTGGTGCTCAATTTATCATTTTTCAATCTTTAAATGATGTATTTGACTTCAGACCTCAGTGAATCTTCTTCTTTCTGGGTGCCCCTACTGATGCTCTTACCTTTGACCACTTTTGGTATTAATCTAGCACGACCTTCAGTTAACAAACTAGGTTGATCATTTATCATAAATTGTAAGGTTCCATGATCCAAAAGACTTTGGATTTGACGTTTAAAGGTGAGACAATTCTCAATGGTATGTCCTTGAGCTCCGGCATGATATTCACAATAAATGTTAATGTCATACCAATTCATATACGGAGGTTGGAACGGTTTTATGTAGTACGGAACCACTTCTCACGCTTCAAGTATCTTATCATATAACTCTTTATATGATATAGGGATATCATCAAAATGAGAACCACCTTTTATCTTGGATTAAACCTGAGTTTTAGACGACCGGAGCAGACTAAACTTTGACGATTTCATATTACATGATTTCTTATCCTCTTTGGGATCTTTTACAGTTTTCACCATTTCTTTGGTATCTCCAGATAGTTTGTGAATACAAATGATGATTGTCTGTAAATTCTCAAATTGTTTAAGATTCGAAGTTCCTTGTATATCTGAGATTGCAGGATTATATTCATTGATCTCTCTCTCTCTTTGTGCAGGAATCTCTTTTCCTTTGGTCAAAATAGATATTATTCCCATCATCTTGGACATATGCTCTCTTATTTCTCGTATCTCCTTTTGGTCTTCAATGGGCATATGATTTTTTAGTGCATAACTCTCCTCTATCCTCGAAATTTCCTCAGGATGCCATTCCATGGTTGCATCATATTTTGTTCGATCATAAAACTTTCTGTCCATTTACGATTTCTTTTCAATTTGATGAACAGTCTTTTAAGTCAACACCTTTTGATTATGCCATGATCATGCAATACAGACAAAAGAATATATAAACAAATTAGAGCAATGTAACATGCATGAAAAAAATAGAATAGTTAGTACCAATTAATGAAAAGAAAAATTCTATCTATCAAGGTATAACTCCTAACCTCATGCTTTCTAGTTCCATGCTTTGTTTGAAAAAAAAATAACCTAACTGCATGATTTCTAGTTCACATGCATTTATTTAGGAAAAAATGAAATAAATTAAAAGCTAAAGCTTATTTCTCCTTTGTGTAAACCTACGGACATAGGTTAAGTATTGTCTTAGATCGGGTGAATTTCTAGGGTTTATTATATGCAGGGTTTCAGTTCTAAGAGTAAAGGTACTCGAATTGTCCTTGTTAGTGCCCCTTTTGGCTGTTAACCCTCAATCCTAGTCCATCACAGACTAAAGTGGATCGAGTTCAATTGGAGGGATACACTTCTCCATGCCTGACACGGAGAATAAATTCTCACGAAGACATAGAGCATGTGAACCCCAAAAGTTACTTACTAGGTCTAACACGGAGAATAAATTCTCACGAAGACGTCGCTTTCACTCCCACTTAAAAGGGACAAGCTTGATTAAAAAAGCTTATGTTATGCAATGCACGTGTTGTGTGAGGAGAAATGTTCAAATCTTTGACAAACAAATAAATAATGAAATTTAATACTTGAAAATAAAAAATAATATACATATAAATATTATGAAATAATAAATATATATAAATTTTGAAAAGAAATAATTATAAATTAAATATATTAATTTTTAATTTCTAATTAATAGGGACAATTTATAATTGATTTTAAAGCTTGACCAGGTCCCCAGCGGAGTCGCCAAGCTTTTGTAATCGGTTTTCTCCCGGGCACGAAATTTTTACTTGGCAATAAAAGTGATGTGAATAAATGGTTTTTAAAATGTTTTGGGAGTCGCCATCGATCTTTTGGGTCAGGTAGATCGAATACCTAAAAATTATCTTTTAAAAGCGTTTTTAAGAAAGCATCAATTAAAACATAAATTGGTCTGCGTTTTAACCAAAAATTCGTTCTTTTTAATAATAATAATAATAATAATAAAGGATTCGTTGTCGATTATGTTTGGGGAAGGATTAGCACCCCTACAACGCCCAAAATTGGTACTTATTAATTATAAATTGTCTCTATTATTGGAAATTTAAAAATTCAAAAATATATTTAATTTATAATCATGTTATTTCAAATTTATTAATATAAGAAAATCTAGGTGTTTTAATATAATCATGTTATATATATAAATAAGATATTTATTTATTTAGAAATATCAGAAAAGAACTTCTAGGTGCAGATAGCTCTTTTCTTAATATAAAAAATATATAAATATTAAAATATGATTATTTTTCTAAGAAAATAATTTAAATAAAACAATATGTATTTTTTATAAGTAAGATATTTATTTATTTGAAATACGAGAACAGAACATCTAGTTGCTTTAAGACTGCCCTTTTCTTTGATATTAAAAATAAATAAATATTATTATTTAAACAAATATATATATATATATATAAGACTAAGAAAATAATAATAATTAAAGTAATAATTAAAATATATTAAAAGTAATAATAAAATAATATTACAAATAAATAATGAATAAAATTAAAATTATAATATAAACACACTTTAACGTTAATAAAATACCATATATCAATCTTTGTAAATGAATAGAATAAATACTAAAAGAAATTTATATTTTAATAAATAGTAATATAATAAAGTCAAATAGTATTAATGTTTATTATAATTAAAATGGATGAAATGGAAAGTAAATTTAAGATACCAATTATAAATAAATGCAAAGAAAATTAAAGCAAGGAAAAAATAAATTCAAAGATACAAACATCAAGGTTATAAGTAATTAAGGAAAATGAAACATTAAAGGTGAATTAATCTTTTATGAATAGTTAATTGATAACAAATTTGGGAAAGTATTAAAAATAATTTAAATTAAAACAATTAAATCATATTCATAAATACATAAAATTCATAGTCAACGTTAAGAATTATAAAAATTAGTGATTAATTTATAAAAGATAAAAATTAATTAACATAATTAATAATATCATAAAATATAAATATTAATACTGTAATTTAGCCATGAAAACTTAATACAGGATTAAAATAAAATTACTAAAACTATAAGGGATTGAATAAATTATTTTACCCTAAACATTTATTAATACTAAATAGTGACTAAAATATAAATAAAACAAAATTAAAATGCACAATTTTGAAAAACATAAAAGATTGCGGGAAGGATTTCTCAATGTTGGAAATTACACATACCCCCCCCAAAACGACGTCATTTGGGGAGGGTATTTAAAACCCTTTAACCGACCCAAAATCCCTTCATCTATCTCATTTCCTCATTTCTTCTCTCTCACTAAACGAGAGAACCAGAGTTCTCTGCCCTCTCTCTAGCTTCCCTCACCGGAGGGAATTCTGGCAGCCAACGGCCACCATACGCTGGCTCCGATCACCGTCACCGGCCACCGTACGGTGGCCAAATTTAGAAAATTAACCCAAATCGAAGATCCTTTTCCCCTAAAATCGAATCCTACCTTATTTCTCCCTAAAAACCACTAGACCGGCTTAAACCTAAAAATAACCGAAGATTTTACCTTCGGTTTAACATAGATTTTTGGTAACGTTTGGGCTCCGACGACGTTTGGTAAGTTCCTCTCTTCTATTGGTTGGTTATTGGTTCTATTATTGTTGTTTGCTTGTTGTTGTCGTCTCTTCCTCTGTTCTTGCCCTCTGTCTCTCTGTCCTTGCTCACTGTGTCTTTTTTTTTCATTTTGTAGGTTCAGTGGCTTTATAGCCACCACCGAGTCTCACCTTGAACCGATCACAAGGGCTGACCCTCGGTGAGTCACCGAACTATGGTGGTGACTCATCATAGGGTAACAACGTGGATGGCGTTTTTGAGTCTTCTGGAGGCTTCAACTAGGCGTGGCAGTAGCAGCGGCGTCAACGTGGGGCGGCTGACCGTCGGCAGTAGCTGGTTGGACCATATGGCTTGGGAGTCGTCGGCAGAGGCAGCGGCTGGCCTTCTGGAAGCATTAGAGGCGGCTGGGTGATGAGACCCTAGCAGAAACCCTAAATGGGTTTAGGGTTTCTACTAGGCCAACTGTAAATGGGCTTAAGGTCGTGGGCCTCTGATGTATTTGTAATTTATTTATTAATAATATAATAATAATAATAATAAACGAAATGAAATGAAAAAATTAGTGTTTAGATACATGTTATATAACAAAAATCTGATCAGTACACAACTTTCAGGCCTTGCTTCTATAATGTAATACAAGAAAGGAGAAAGCTTTATAGGCATGAGCATTCATCAAGTAGGAAAACATTCCAAGCCAATACCTTATTTTCTGAATAACCATGTTTAAAGGTAGCTGGCCCTGAAATCTGATGTCAGTTCGAGCTCCGGAGCGAAGAAGCAAGTCAAGTAATTCAGGCATGTATACAAAGCCATGCAGTGGAGGCCAACCAATAACATCATCAACAGCATTATTATCTAGTTTGAGACCTGTCTTCCCTTGTAATAGAGCGATTCCACACTTACCTGCCCATTTTTGTGTGATGTCCCTCGAAATTTTTGATAACATGAGTGATTGATACACATCATAACCACCAACTAATTGGGCTTGATAGTGAATCCATGGAACGAATGCATCCTCGTTATCATATTCTATTAATTCCCAAATGACCTGATCATAGCCAGGATAATATTCTACCATCTGCTGGATAAAAACGACTAGGAAAAAAAGTATACTTTTGACTGCTGGGATTTTCCGCCGTGATACAATGAATTTGTTGAGGGTTAGGTCTTAGTGTATTATTGCGTTTCTGAATACAAGGATCTGCAACATAAGTTTCAAAACAGAAATAAACAAATATGGGGTAAAATATGCAAATAGTCCCCCAATTATAAGGAATGATTATGTTGTCTCTCTAACTGTAAAAAAAGGATAAACTACACGGTTGACCACTAAACTATTGCCGAATTACATTTCAATTTAATCAATCAAACCATCTAACTATTTAAATGCTTCAATCAAGTTTATGACAGGGGTATAGGGGATTCAAACCTGGACCTCCTAGGTAATGGAGAAAGCAACAAACCATTAAGCCAAGGTTATCATTTGATACAATTTACACAACAAAAAATATATCACTAGCATCGTAATATATAAAAGCTTCACCTAAATTCATAATATTTTATATTCTTAATTGTTAAAAATATATTTTATTTTTGTCTTAACTTATAAATTTATCTTATTCTAATTTTAATATAAAAATATTTTTTTAATCTTATCTTCACTTAAAAGTGTATTTTATTCTTTTATTAACCTTTGAAAAAATGTTTTTAAAATATTTTTATTAAAATATATTTTATTCTTAAGTTAAAATATATTTTGAAATTAATATATTTTTAAAATATATTTTTAAAAGTTAAGAATATAAAATGTTATAAATCTAAGTAAAGTGTTTTTATATGAATAAATAACTTCCTTGATCGCCCAAACACATATTTCATTGAACTTAAAATTGAAATGATCTTAATCTTATGATTCAACCTTGAATTGAAGGTGTTCTGTGAAGCCCTCTCAACTGTATTTCTTTAACAAACAAGTAAAAATAATCTACTCAAATTCAATACAATCTAAATATTATTTTAATTTAATCACTCATTTTTTATTTCGTCTCTCGTTACCTTCTTCCACAATTAAATCTTCACATCATTACTTATCATCACAATCTCACTTTTACCAAAATCTAATATCTCATCAGATTCTGGTTTCAACAAACGAATCAAAGAATTTCCATTTCTCATATTAAAACCATAATCAAAGAGAGAAATATAAAATTTCGAAATTCGATAAGATCTAAAAATTTGGAGTAAATTGGGAAAATAGAAGAATTCAGGGGTTAAACTGAAACTTTTGGGAAGTTTAGGGTTAAATTTTTGGACGCTAAAGACTTAGGGGACTGTTTAGAAAATATGATGAACATCAAAGGTTTAAAATTAAATTAACCTTTCAAGATAATAAAGTTAATACACACGTTCCTCGACCCTTTTGCTAATTACCTCCCCGGTTTAATAACCCGAAAAGAGAAAGAGAAGCCTAAATTTTAACACCGTAGTTATCCGCCTCTCCTTGATGTTTGTGCTAAAACTCTGCAAAATTCCTTTTCTCATTTTTGCTTGCCAAAATCATCACATCACCACCTTCATCCTCGTCTAAACCGAGACCGCACACTAACCCGTGCATAAAGCCATTCGCTCCATATCAAGCTAAAATGTTCGCATCGATTACCAAGAAGTTTTTTTAATACATTTATTTAATTGATTTTTTTCTTTAAAAATTTTAAGAGAAATTGACGGATCAATTAATAAAATTAGCATAATCTCCGATCCCAAGGTGGAGCATATCAGCAGTCAAAAGGTAATATATATATATTTATCTTTTTGTCTCACTTCATTGGCTTATTGTCTTCTTGCACTCAAATAAATTTGTAATTTTACTATTTGTTCTGCTAGAGTTCTTAGTTTTTTTTTTCTTTCTTTTATTAATTTTTTCTAGTGATTCTCACACTAATCATGTTTCCATGGCTATTTTTTTTCTTTTCCATTTTTTAATTATGATGACAGATGGCAAAATATCATCCTGGTTATGATAATATCATTTATGACATCATAAAATATGATAGGAAGGATGCATTCATTGGAAGGATTCACCAGGAAGCTCAATCTGTTGGTGGTTATGATGTGTATGAATCACTGATGTTATCAGACATTGTGAATTGCATCATTATAGAAAACTCAGTTAAGTGTGCAACCGCTCTATTACAAGGACAGACAGGTCTCAAACTAGACATCAATGCTGCTGTTTATCCCCATATAGGTTTCGCTCCACTGCATTGTTCCGCAGACGATCCTGAGTTAACCGAAGTGTTTCTCCGCTATGGAGCTCGAACGGACATCAGATGTGAGGGCGAGCTACCTCTAGACTCTGCTATTGATTACATGAGGTGTTGGTTTGGAACATTTTCCTACTTGATGAATGCTCATGCATATAGAGCTTGCTCCCTTCTTGTATTACATTATAAAGGCAGGGCCTGAAAGTAGTGTATTAATCAGATTTTTGTTATATAATATATATATATATATATATATATGCATGTATGTTACTTATTGCAGGAATCGATCTGTCTTCACCACTGGCTGGTCTACAAGGCAATCTATCTACATGACAGTTGTTTTTATGTTCTTAGAAGATATGGTCAGTAATTATCTGGGAACTCTTATCTTTTTGTGATAATCTAGATATTTCTTAGACTCCTATTATTGTTATTGATAGTTTGTTTGTCTTTTTTCAATACCACCAGAGGGAGCCTTTGGAGTGCGTTAGAATGATCTTTAGGGCCACGAAAGAGGTTGAGAAAGAAATATACCGTTACGTGAAGGATGGGAATGTCATTGAGATAGCTGCATTATTAATGGTGGCTCGAGAAGAAGTTACATCGCCATCTCTTTTCAAAGACTTATGTGATCCTGCTCTAAAGGGGAGCATGTCCCTTCGCCAATTGGTCTTATCAGAGATTGTATCACTAATGGCTTCAGAAACAACATTAGTTTCTACAAGTGAGGAGGTGCATGATGAGCTGAACAATAAGTTGGAAACAATGATGTCTATGTTCCGTTTGATTGAAGTTTTTGAAAGGGCTGGCGATAAAATCGAGCTATATCGTCAATACGTAACTAAGGTGTGCTGCAATGCTTCTATTTCCCTTCTTAAGTGGTATGGTAGCTTGTAAGTTAAAAAATGATTATGTCTAGGTCTGTCTTTTTTCAAGACTTTAATTTAATGGGAGTGGTTTAACAGCTACCATTTTTTTCTTGATTAAACGTTCTCTTTTGATTACAGTGGTCTGAGAAATTATTGGCTGCACAAATTGCATTCTTGCTTATCAGTGAGGGACTTGCAGAATATAAAGACTTTGAATTGAAAAGGTTTCACATTTTGCTTCTTCCATGTGGCTTATGCTATTGTGCTTGCATTTAAAACATGTTTAGAAATAAAAATTGTTAATTTTTCCTCTTGCATTTAATGATCTAAAGTTTGTTTTTTGGTTCCTTGTTTTGGCTGGTTGGCTGGTTGCGATATGATCCAAGTGATGATGGATCAGATGTTGCTAAGTTTGTGTCAGAGTTTTAATATGGGCTTTTTGGAAATATTAGGTAAATGCTTTACTAGTTGCTCATTCTGTTAGTGCTTAGATTGTAAAGGAAATAATATGTAATATTTACAAACACTATGCTTTTCACTGTAGAATGGAAATTATATGAAGGCATGAAGTTGGAGAGTGGGACCACAAAGATTTACAAACATGATGTTGATGGCATGGTAAGAAAAAAATGGTATTCTGTTGATTAAAGTGGTTTTTAAAGCTTGAATATGGTGTCTAGTCTTATTACACGATCAGACCAAGCTGATATGTGCTTTGTCATCTTATAAAACACAATGGATTTCTCAGTTGGCCATCCAGCCCGCTGACTTTGGAGGCCATCCCAATACTCAATAATGAGGATGATGCAAAGGTTTCTTTGCCACTCAAAATATCTCTTGAAAAACTATGGTAAAAGTTAATTTGTCCTGTCCCATGATATTTGTAACGTTATGAATGTCAGTTTCCAATTTCTGCATGCATCTCTCTCGTGTTACAATGCTCTTGAATTGTTGTTTTTCTTCCTGTTGATTTACTTATCATTATTATCGTTTTAAGTTACCCTTTGTATTCTTTATACAGCCATCACCCTTATTTGAATTGTTGGACTCCCGAAAAATCAACCTTCAAGCTAGTTTATATATTATGCCTACCGCAGCTGGTTTGTTCGTGTTATTTGTTTTCCCAATTCTGTTCATTTTAAGATTTTTATTTTAAGCAATTATGTATTGCATTTTTACTTTCATCTTTGCTAGAAAGAATACTTGGAGAGCATCAGGTTGGTTGCATGCAAAACTGAGGAGATTGAGGCCATTGGTTGTAATTTGGTGAGGCAGGGAAAGCTCATCGAACTGGCTTCACTTCTAATGGTGGCTCCTGAAAAGTTTATTGTAACCACACCTCCTGGAAGCAATGATTTGAGTTCAAATGCCATTCGCCAATGCATAATGAGCGATCTCCAGGCATTGGTTGAATCGGAGGTTAGTCTAAGGGGTAGAAGCAACAGTCACAAGTTAGTTGAGAAGGAAATGAAGTTGTCTGCACTCCTGCTGTTGGAAGTGTTTGAGAGGGCTGGGAATTCTATTAACCACTATCTCCATTCAGACACATATAATGTACGTACCAGGCGTTTATTGATGCTTTAAGGGTATAGAATGCTAGCTGTTCTAATGTGCTTCATTCATTTTTATGTATTATATCCTGATTTTACACATCAAACATAATATTATATTAGGAAGGAAGGAAATCGAGATTGGAAATCGCCGGAGAAATTCAGAATCTGCTTGAGAAAGCAGGCTTTGTTATGAAGCCCAAAGATACTGATTTGAATGATATAAAATGGTACGGCCCTTGGCGTTCTGTTGCGTATGCAGTCCACTCAAGTTGTCTCAGAGTCATATTTGGTTATCTATCATTATACAATATCGAGTGCATTAATGTGGCTGTTTTTATTTTGTATTTATCGATATGTATATACATATATTACCTATGTTTATGTGACACCTATCATTTGATTGCACTAGTTTCTCGCGCACATCGGATCCAGTTGATGACACTAGCTTGCCATCAGCATTGCGACCTCATGAGTTTTCTGTTGCAGAGGTGATTTACAATTTCTTTTGCATCCTCTACCCTCACATTCCTTCCTTTTCGAACGTTGGATTTGTTACTTTTATGTGATTCCATAGAATTGTTTGAGTTGAGTAGATTGAGTTTGCTTTTTCCTTCTTTTCACTGCATACAAACTTGTGGATTTCTCAAACTAGTGGAATTTTTATATCTTGTATTGATTTGTTGTACAGAATAAGCATTTGTTTGGCATGCAAAGAGGATCGAGACTGTTTCACACAATGGTGCAAGGGAATTCGGAATGTTGTGGCCCTCGAGTTTCCATACCTACATCAAAGGCTTTGAAGCCTGGGATACCAAAAGTTTCAGGGAAGAACACAAGGTGGTTTTTATCTCTAGGGATAGTTATCACCAAGGTGATAAAACGTTTATGAAAATTTTGCACTTATTGTGCATCATATATGCTTTTTAATTATTATTTTTTGGTTAGATTTTTTTTTTCTGGAAATGAGTTATTAATTAATGCCGGTTGAGTTTAGCTCGATTAGCATTGTTGTTGATACGTTATATAGGAGAACATGCGATCGAACATTCTTAAGTGTTCGATATATCAGTGAGAAATAATTTTATGTAGTATGGACATTATATTAAAAAATTAGTATTCAACAATCAACTATAAGTTTCTTCAATTTCAATTATGATTGCATATATGTACGTAACAAGTGTTTGTTTAATTTTTTTTTGTCAAATATTTATTTAGCTTTGAACGTTCCCAATCAACAAATAGCAGTAGAAGTAGTGTTTCAACTAGTTGTACCCAGTTGAGCTTGTGCAAATCATAAATTCTGAAAGTTTCAAGCACAAATCAATTAATATGACCCTTGATTACGTTTCCTGTGAAACCACAAGTTACAACAATGCAAACATTCTTCAATATTGCCTGCTAATTTGCACAAGGTTAGTTCCCAAAATGATAGAACCTGATAAGTCATGCAAGCAATATGATACCCCGACTTTATAAAATAAATTAACTCTAGGAAGTTTCAGTTTTGTTGTCTGAATAACACACCATCTAATAATTCATGTCAAGAGAATATATATCATACACAAATTGCTCAGCAACAGAAAACGCATGAGGCCTCAATTCCAATGGCAAACTAGTGTGATCAACCGGATCCAATTTGGGTGAGAAACTAGAGCAATCAAATGATAGGTGTCACATAAACATAGGCGATATATATATAAATATCAAATGAAAAAGACATTATTGCACTTGATATTTTGTAATTATAGATTTAACCAAATATTACCATGTGAGACAACTTGCATGGACTGCATGACCAGAATGCCGAGGGCCATACCATTTTTTATCATTCAAATTGGTATCTTTGGGCTTCTTAGCAAAGCCTGCTTTCTCAATAAGGTTCTGAATTTTTATAACGATTTCTAATATCGATACATTACATCACAATGAATGAAGCACATAAGAAACAGCGAGCATTCTAAACACTTAAAGCATCAGTCTAACATCTGATACGTACGTTCTATGAGTTTGATTGAAGATACTAGTTAATAGAATTTCCAGCAGAAGGAGTGCAGACAACTTAATTTCTTTCTCATCCTTACATTTCTCAAACTAACTTTTGACTGTTGTTTCTACCCTTAATATGACTCCGCGTCAAGCGATGCCTGGAGATCACTCATTATGCATCGGCGAATGACATTTGAACGTAAATCATTGCTTCCCGGTGCTGTGGTTACAATTAACTTCTCCGGAGCCACCATTAGAAGTGAAGCCAGTTCACTGCATACAAACTTGTGGATTTCTCAAACTAGTGGAATTTTTACATCGTGTGTTGATTTGTTGTTTAGAAAAAGCATTCGTTTGGCATGCAAAGATGACAGAGACCGTTTCGCACGATGGTGCAAGGGAATTCGAAATGTTGTGGCCGTCGGATTTCCGCACCCACAACAAAGGCTTTGAAGCCATGGATACCTAATGTTTCAGGGAAGAAGACAGGGTGGTTTTATCTCTAGGGATAGCTCTCACCAAGGTGATAAAACGTGAATGAAAATGTTGTACTTATTGTGCATCATATATTTGCTTTTAAATTTTTTACATCAGTCTGTATCTTGGAAATAAGTTATTAATGCCGATTGAGTTTGGTTCGGTTGACATCATCATTGGTCTACTAAAACTTGAAATCCAACATATTTAAATGTTTGATATATCAATAGGGAGAGATTTAAATAGTATACACATTACATTAAAAATTAGTATTTAGACAATCAAATTATGATTACATATATAAGGACATAAAGATTATATTTATAAAAATGACTGTTATTCTCCTTTGTTATTAAAATTTCACTCCATTTCTTATTTTTCAATAATTATTTTTATTTAAATAAATTTACTCAAGGAAGTTTCAGTATACAATAATTCACGTCAAGAGAATATATATCATCCGTGTTTTTCACCTTGGTGATACCTACTCCTAGAGATAAAAACCACCCTATTCTCCTTGGCATCTTAGGCTTCAAGGCCTTGAATTCCCCTGCTGCTGCACCATCGTGAAACGGTCTCGATCCTGCGACTGAGCCTTGGACAGAGGGTGTTGTTGGAAGCCTCTTTGCGTGCCGAACAACTGTTTTTTCTAAACAACAAATCAGTACAAGATATGAAAATTCCACTAGTTTGAGAATAATCCAAATGTTCATATGCAGAGACAATACTAAAAGGCAAAAGCCGATGTTTGAGTTACTGAGGAATCGAACTAAAAGAAAATATTCTCAACCCGACTAATATCAATGTTTAAGTTACTAATGCAACTTGCAGACCAAGCAAAATTAATATAGAAGGTAATGCAAAAAGACACAAACTATAACTCACCTCTGCAACAGAAAACTCATAAGGCCTCAATGCCAATGGCAAACTAGTGTGATCGATGGATCCAATGCGGTTCTGAATTTCTCTAACAATTTCTAATCTCCAATCGTCCTGCAATAACATTATATTTGATGTGTAAACTCAGAATATGATACATTACATAACAATGAATGAAACACATAAGAAGCAGCTAGAATTCTAAACAGTTAAAGCATCAATCAACACCTGATGCGTACGTTATATGTGTCTGATTGAAGATATTGGTTAATAGAGTTGCCAGCCCTCTCAAACACTTCCAGCAGCAGGAGTGCAGACAACTTAATTTCCTTCTCATCCTTACATTTCTCAACTAACTTTTGACTGTTGTTTCTATCGATTAATCTGACTTCTGCATCAAGCGATGCCTGGAGATCACTCATTATGCATCGGCGAATGACATTTGAACGTAAATCATTGCTTCCTGGTTTACAATCAACTCCTCAGGAACCACCATTAGAAGTGAATCCAATTCGATGAGTTTGGATGGCCATTTTAGACAGGTTGCCTACGAGAGATAATCTTGATTCTTTTGAAATTCAAGTTGAGAAAGGTTGTGTCTTGTGTCGCGGGGATTAGGTCCATTAGGAGACTCGGGACCATGTGTTCTTTGGGTGCTCGTACTTGAAGGAGATTTGTGCCAAAGTTTTGGAGGCTTGCAATCTGAAGAGGAGGGTTGGAGGCACTGGCGAAGCCAGTATATATTTAGGTGTGTCACCCCAAAAGTTTTTAAAAAAAAATTTCCCCTACAAATTATATATATATATATAATATAAAAAAAAGAAAACATTTCTCTTAAAAAGATTCTGACACCCTTTTAAAAAAATTGACTATACATCTTAAAAAAAATTAACAATAATAATTTTAAAACTTATTTTTTTATTTAAAAAAGTATTCATATAATTCTTAAATTTGACACCTAAAATAAATTTTATGGCTCCGTTCATGGCCGAAGGTTGAGACTTTGAGCTTGAGTGGACGATCAAAAAGCTTAAGAGTAAGTTCCTTCCCACTGTCGTGTTGAAGATTGTGTGAAATTCGATTATTTTCAAGGGAAGTAGTGTTCAGTGCATGAACTAGTTAAACAGATGCGAGATGCGGTTCGATGGCGTCTTCTAAGCAAAAATGTTAATAGGCTTAGCTCAATACCTCGATCTATAGCAAGTTGTGCATAGTGTGGATGGAACCTGGCTGAGCTGCCAAACCAGTAGGGCGTGTTACGTGGGTATAAGGATTTTGTGTTGAGTTGTACTATAGGTATTGTTTTATTTGTAACAATTTGACTACTCTTGAATAAATAAATTTTTACATTTATCAAAGCAAATTATTGATATAAAAATTACTGTTATTTAATTAGAAATGTTAATTAAATTATTATTATAAATTAATTTGATTAAATAATAAATAAAATATATTTTTTTATTAACCCTAAAATAATTACAGAATTAATTTGATCTAAACTAGCCCAGTCTACCAGGCAATAGGTCTCAGTCGAGTGGATAATAAATTTGGTCTCAACCAGAAACCTCTAGTATTAGTAGTAGCATGGGGTTTCATGCCCCCTTCTTTTATTTCTGGCAACAAAGTGGGCCCCATATAAACGACGTGTCATCCTTTCACCATGATTCAGAATCTACGCACCTTGGCTCCATTTCTACACGCGCTCCCCGCCTCTTTTTTCTTCTTTGCTCCAAACCTTCGATCTCTACATATATTTTATTTTTTTTAATTTGTGCTTCTTCTGTTCTCGGTTCCTCCACGCGGATCATTCCTTGGCTCTAGGTTTTCTCTCTCTGTGATTTTATCGATCCTCTCTCTCTTTCGTATTGCCCGCTTATCGTAAGTCTCAATCTTCCTTTTTGAATGATTTGTTTCTCATCGTTCATGTTTGTTTGGTAAAGTCATTCATTATCTGATTCGTTGTTTGTTTACTTAGGGGAAATTTTCAAGCTTACTTCACTGCGAAGTTTTCTTTATTTTATTCGTGATCCTAGAAATAGATATACGTTTTGGTTTGGTTTGTTTTAATTTTACTATGTTCTCTCCGTAGCCGAACAGTGCATTGCATTTGCATACATCACGAGATCAATCGAATTGATAGAATGTATTATTACTTATTTTGATTGTTTATTTTCCTTCTCGGCTCTGATCAAGGCACTGGAGTTTTCTGTGTAATTGGATGTTTGTGGATTGGGTTAGCAGTTTTTTTCTATATAGGTTTTTTATTCTTTGAGGTTGAAAAAAATGGGGGCTTAGAGGTTTGCTGTTAGACTAGAAGTGAATCTAATGAGATGCTGTAACAAGTATGGGATATGGATAATGATATGAATCTGGATTTCTATTGATAATATATAGCAAGCTTTCCCTTTTGTTTCTTCTTGCTATTGATATTTATATTTGGGGATTAGGAGGTGTGGCGTTTGTTAGTTACATTAGAATGCTATAATATAAGTTTGAAGATGGATGAAGAACTAATGTTGCAGCCCGGTTGGATGGACAAAAATCCAGAAATGGTGGC